AAATAAGATTTTTCTTTCTCTATGGTTTACATATAAGTAGAAAAGTAAATGGCGTGTTGCCTGTTACATATTTGATTTATAAAATTATTTCAATCTCTAATACACATTCTCATTTGTAATTTTTGTTGGTAAATGCTACAGATTCTTTAAATAAATTGTTTTCAGGTACCAGCCAGTCCTTTTTATCTAAGTATTTCAAAATCTTAAAAGATGGCGTTCGAAATTTGTCTCATTTGCGGCTCTCCACCGCTGTAATCTCTAATGTTTAACCCAACCAAACCTCACTTTCTAACAGAGACAAGTAGTCCCTGCTTTCTAACATGTTTTTAGTTTTTGAGTGATGTATGAAAACATTTTTCTTTTTATTCAGAATAATTACTTTTCCCCAAAAGAATGAAGTTTGCATATAGGGTAAGTGACAAGAGTAACACATTAATAATCAACTGAAGTACCAATTGAAACAAGAATGAATTAATTTAAAGCTCAAATAGGTACTTGAACAGCCGGTCAAAAGCAATGCAGAAAGCATGCTTTTCCCAAACAAACACCTATTAAGTATGAATTCCTGGAACTAAAGCAATTATTGCACTTATATGCCGTACAAACGTGCATGAAATGCAACCAGAACATGCAATTTTATAAATTTTGCAATGGAAAGAAACTCTTTTCAAAGATCCAGCAAGTATGCAAATTGTGTGTGCGATTAATACATATTTACATATACCTAGAGGCATTTATTTGAATGAGTTTCTTGATATACAGAAATAATAAAATAAAAAGGCCTGAATTAGCTCAGGCTGAAATACTTAAATGTGGAAAAATAGGAGTCCTTAGACTTCTAGCAAAATTAGTAAATTTACCAACAGTCTGTTTTGGTAAATTATCGATGTAAACAGGCACAGTCGACAACATAAAATCATGTAATTAAGTCATCAATAAACGATTAACCAAGGGCACAACACAGAAAAATTATAAGTATAAATAGGAATATAATAAGCTTATTTTTTTCAGTTCCAGAATCTCCTGGGGACGGTACATAGGGAGGGAGGTTTATTATTTTCTCCGGATGGAAATTGCTTAATTAGCACAGTGGGAAATAGGATAACGATATTTGACTTGAAAAAGTAAGAGCCCAATTTGATGCATAACTTGAACAGCAGAAAGTTAACAAGATGTGAATTTTCAGGAATAAATCCAACACTTTGCCCGTAGAAAGCCGGTATAATTATGTTGCTCTCGACATAAACGCAAATGGGTCCGCTTTATTGGCAATCAATGAAGAGGGCGAGGCCCACATTATCAGTCTAATATCGTTTAGCATTGTGCACCGCCATAGATTCAATGGAATCTGTCGCAATGTAAAGTTTAGCCCTGATGGAAAACACGTCGCTGTATGCAAAGGCAATAACGGTAAGAGCAAGCTTTAAGCAGAAGAAACAATGACTAACATTTTATCGTTTTCAGTTCTCGTATTTAAAGCCCCAGGTTTAGTGACTGGAACACATAATGCCTTTGAAATGGAACGCGTTTTTCATGGAGCCTACGACGAAACCACTTGTTTGAATTGGTCGTCGGACTCTAAAATTCTGGCTGTTGGATCCAAAGATATGGCGACTAAATTGTATTCATTTGAAAGGTAAAAGCACGGACTCTAAAACACCATTTTATAATTTATTGCGCTCTTTAAAAACAGTGAAACAGTGGAAATCGGAAATTCGATACTCTTGATACTAATTTTGCTTTCAGATTCAAGAACTTCAGAATGTACTCACTAGGCAGTCATACGGACGAAATAGTTGGTTGTTTTTTTGAGCAGGAAAGTTACGATTTGATAACAATATCGAGAAACGGTCAAACCTGCGTATGGGAGTGCACTGTTAAGCCTGGCGAATTAGAAGTTTTAAAAGACCAGGCTCCTGCCAAGAAAAAAGTAAATATTCATCCGTCTTATGTTAGCTTTATGATTATCGACGACTTTTTTATTTGCTTTACAGAAAACGTCTGACGATAATGAGGAAGATGATGTGGACATAACAAAATCTGTTGAAAAGACTCAGGAAGAAGTTGAAGAATCCCTGAAAGAATCTCCCGAGTGTAAGGCGGAGGATAATAAGTTGCTGTATATGAGACTGGCCAGACACTACTTGGCAGACGAAGTGAGGAAGGAGCATCAAGAAGCCGTCCTAACAGCAGCAGCCTATCATCCCAAGGCAAGGATTTTAGTGACTGGTAAGTTGTGATTTTAGTTTAAATTGCTTTTGGATACAGAATGGTCTTTTCCAGGCTTTTCGTGTGGAGTTTTTTTCATTTACGAGACGCCTGACATGAACTTGATTCACTCCCTGTCGATATCAGAGCAAAAAATATCTTCGATAGCCTTGAACCAAACAGGGGAATGGGTAGCTCTGGGATGTAGCGGTATTGGGCAACTTCTAGTGTGGGAGTGGCAAAGTGAGTTACATCGAAATTTATGCTTTTTATCAAACTTACTCCCAATAAATCCTAGGCGAAACCCACGTGATGAAGCAACAGAGCCATATGCTCAATATAACGTGCCTCAGTTACTCTTCAGATGGACATATAGTAGCCACAGGAGGCGGTGATGGCAAGGTAAAACTATGGAAAGTCAGCTCAGGATTCTGTTTCGTTACATTTAGCGAACATTCCAGCGCGGTTACTGCTCTTGCGTTTTGCGCCAGCAAGAACTTTATTGTGTCAAGCTCGCTTGATGGAACAGTTAGGGCTTTTGATATTACTAGGTAATTTATTGCCGTTTTTTCCTAAATTTACAGAAATGGTACGAAATTTCTTTTCAGATATCGCAATTTCAAAACCTTTACTTCACCCAGATTAGTTCAATTTTCCTGCGTATCCGTGGACAGCAGCGGAGAGTTTGTTGCGGCCGGTGGACAAGATGTTTTCGAAATATACCTTTGGTCAGTGAAAACGGGCAGATTACTGGAAATTTTATCCGGACATGAAGGACCGGTGGTAGGTTTTGCTTCAGCAACAATCAAGGATTTAAGTTTAAATGGCACTGTTTCAGTCAAGCGTAGTGTTCAGTCCGGGTTTAACTTCCACTACAATGGCCTCAGTCTCCTGGGATAAAACCCTGAGGACTTGGGACGCTATTGAAAAAGGCTCTTCGCACGAAGTAATCGAATTGTTAGCCGAAGGAGTATTTGTGACCTTTAATCCTAACGGCGTTGAAGTGGCTGTGGCGACGCTGGATGGGAGAATATCCGTTTTTGAAATACGCACTGCCACGCAAGTTGCCTCTATTGAAGGCAGAAATGATTTAGGTAGTGGACGCTCTGATAATGACTTGATTACGGCCAAGAAAACTTTAGAAGCCAAGTAAGTTACAAGCTGCGACAAGGTAGAACGAATGCTCATTTGAGACATTTTCAGGTGCTTTTCAACTTTATGTTACTCCGCTGATGGGGCATACATTTTGGCTGCAGGCCAGTCGAAGAACGTCTGCATCTATAGCGTTAAGGAGAATTTGCTTGTGAGAAAGTTTGAAATTACGCAGAATAGATCATTGGACGCTGTAGATGTAGGTCTGATAAACATTTTTTATTGTCAGTTCTTAAGTTTCTTCTTTAGGATTACATCAACAGGCGAAAACTGACTGAATTTGGAAATATGGCTTTGATCGAAGAAAGAGAACTGAGAGAAGGCGGTAATGTTGCCATCAAACTTCCGGGCGTTAGAAGTGGCGAAATGTCGAAGCGCACTCTTAAACCCGAGGTAACTTGAAGCGTCAAAGCAGCAATTCATGCATAATTACAAACAGTAATTTTTATTAATTCAGGTACGTGTTTTGTCCTTGCAATTCTCACCCACTGGTCAGCAATGGGCCGCGGCTACCACTGAAGGCCTCTTGATATACGCGTTGAACTCAGGAATTGTGTTCGATCCTTGGGATCTTCAAGCAGATATTACTCCTATGGGAATCAACAACGCTCTGAAAGATCAAGATTATCTTAATGGTTTGTATTTATCATTGCAATCAAGACCTGTTTCATAGAAAGAGAAGATCGACAGAAAACGGAATGATCTAAACTAAGCTTCAGATTTATTGAATGAAATGAAATACACAGCTTTTTAACTCTTGCTTTGTTGCAGCACTGATAATGGCAGTAAAAATGAACGAGGCCAATCACATCAGACAAGTAATAGAAACGATTCCAGTCTGTGATGGTAGGTTGACTAAATATTTGATGTATATTTAACTGAAAATTCCAAAATTTTCCAGTTGAATTAATCGTTTCAAGTCTTGGACTTCAATTTATCAAGCGATTGTTGTACATTTTCGCCAGCGCTTTAGATGCTTCAAAACACGTTCAATTTTACTTGAAATGGTTGAAACACATTATGACCATACACGGGTCAAGTCTCGTCCAGCAAGGGAACAAGCCAGCTCTTGTAGCAGTGCTACAAAGTGTTGAGAGGCGAAATGAGCAACTTTCCAAAATGTAAGTAACTTTTTTCAGTTTGAAGTCGTTTACGTTTCTATTTCTCTGAATCTTAAGGTGCGATTACAATCAATACATGACGGACTACGTTCGGTATTCACAAAAAACGGTTGTTAAAACCTTGGATGAAGACCATGATGAAATGAACGGAAAAAGTGACTTGGATAGTGAGGATGAAGATGCGTTTATGGACAATTCAGTTTTAGACTAAAAAAATTGTGTTATTGTATAAAAAATATTTCATACGCAATTGAATACTTTAATAAACATTGCTTTATCGATTTTTTGAGGTGGCGAAAATTATCATGAAGGGAATGGTTTTGCAAAGAAAAACGCCATTTATTCTTATCAGAAACAACAGAAAGTGGATGATCAAACAGAGTGATTCAATTATTTGGCGTAAAGCGTTAGTATGACTAAATTAATTTCGATTCTTACTATCGTACCAATGGCATTTATTGTTGGGAAGTGCCTGAATTCAGGTGTAAGTAATGAAAAAGCGCCTACAAAAACATCATGTAATTTTAAATTTTATTGATATATAAAATTGATAGCAACAGTATTTGTTGATTACTTAATAATTGTATAATTATAAAAGACTAAAAAACCAACTTAAGTTAACGAAATATTTATGCAAATATTAGAGCTGTAATATTTGGATAAACATTCTGTATGATGCATTACGGTTGTAAGCTAAATATAATTTTAAGTTCCCGTTACACTGGTAACGAAATATAAAATCTCTTTTATTATTTACAATTTTAAGAACTTTTCAAAAAGCTATATTGAGTTTTCTTAGACTTGCGCTTTCAAATAATTCAGATTTAAAATTTGTCCCTTGAAGGCATCATGCGATTTTCCGTTCGAAGACATTCAAAAAGGCCAATTCATTTCATGATAGATTCGTTTTGGTAGAGAAAAAACACTACAGAGCAACGATTTAGGCATTTTTCCATAAACATACTCATATTTCCGACTAAACTAGAGGTAGGTAAGTGATGATATCACAATGTTTCGTTTGAATAGGGTTTGCAGTTTAAAAAGCTGAAATGGAAATTTACAATTGGCCTCTTTTCTGTCTTTCAAAATAAAAAGATGAAGGTATTTTGTGAGAGACACACACAATAGTAGCACCAATACGTGTCACAATTCCATATTACTGTTAGCAATGCGGCTAAATCTAGTAAGGGAAATTAATTTTAGTGAATATAAAAAATACGTTTTACCTGTGAAGAATTGCAGAAGGTTTAATGTTGTTCCAAATAACATTTGTATTCTAAAATAAAATTTTAACTATGTAATTTTCATAACTGCACTAGGAACGATTTGCCTCGGACTCCGGTAAAATTGACTAATTTTTGAATTGAAAACCCCGGATTCATTGCAAAATTCATTGAAAATACCTCCAACTCTTGATTACCGGTGTTGGCAGTACCTCGTAATGTCAAAAATATTCATATGTAATGAGTACTTTAGCTGTTTTACAGAACAATGCATAATGCTACATTGCTATCTTTTGACACCACACAATATTGAAGAAACTAAAACTGAAAATTATCTTCTTATTACAGATAGATCGAGACAGATTTCTATATCTATCTATAAAAGCTTAATTAAGAAATTAAAATAATTATCTTCCCAACTCCAACAAACGATTGTTGGCCCATACTGCTGGGACTGGGGCTATGAAAGAGATTCCGACTATCCCAATGCTGGAAGCTTACCGTGTTCACAAATCATGTTATCATCATGATATTCAATGATCAAACTGCTTTTCAATTGATACTTAAAAAGCCCAGCTCTAAAAGGTAGTCAAAATAAATAACACCAAAATTGAACTTTAATTTGCTTTACGATTCAAGCCTGAATAAATATTTCAGAAAGGAATCGCAAAACAAAGCAGATACAATATTGTGACACAACACCAGGACACAATGACAACCAATAAAATAAATATATACAGCAACCCAAAAAGAAAAAAAACTTTGTTAGTTAAAAATGAAAAAAAAATCGTCTCGTTTGGATTTAGGAAGGCCAACCCAATCTTTATCAGTAGCGTGATGATCCACCATTCATAATATTTTCCAACTATGCACATATTTGCACTCCATTGAGAAAACATAGGATTTTCCCAAAAAACATTCTGGGAAAATTATTAAATTTTTTGAATGCCAAGGAAAAATTTCCTTTATGCATCATAGCAGTCGATTCAAGATTGGCTTGCTTAAGACGATTATTCCATGATAGTTGCACCATTATAAAAACATTACTTTATCGATATTATATATACACATATTTGCAAAAGTTAATCATTGTGTGGTGCAAACATTTGCTGACAACTTCATTATTTTTCGTCACTTCGGTAAATATCAGCATCTGCCTATAAGTCTCTAACACTGTCTATTCCACCAATTTTAGGACCTTGCCAATAGCAATCGTCCTATCTGAAAATACAGACAAAATATTTTTCAATCTCATACTTTAGTACCTATACTGGGGGTGAAAGAAGTATACAGATTACTATTTACTTACTCTCGTCTCTTAATGTGAATCTACCCATTTGAGGGAATTGTTTGAATGGTTCTAAACAGATAACACCTGCACATTCTATTCTCATAATAGCTACTTGGTCTTGTTTCACAAATCTCGGTCGAGTCTTAGATTTCTCTCCAGTTTTCTTATCGATTAGACAAATTAAAGCCTTGAACAAAAAAAAAACGTTGGTTAAAGAAAAGTTGCAAGAGCAAAATTGTTTTATTGCATTATTGGGCCATCGCCTGTTTTGCGACGTTTTCATTTCATAAAAATCAAATTTTTCTCGGTACCTTAACGGTGATTTCCTCTGCGGCGCAGTGAATATGCATCACCGCGCTATACCCAGCACAAATAATCGACTTGTGTTCAATGATAACGAGTTGTGCATCAAAAACTTTGCAGGTATGCACGGGGTTCAGGGCATCGCATAGCACAAAACCTGGACTAACATCTTCCTCTTCAACTCCCTTCACTTTGATTTTCACATTTTCGCCAGACACAACTCGGGACACTTCGTCATCGTCGCTCAACAGCATGTCTACAGTAACTGGGGTCTGTAACAAAATAATCACATTTTTGAGCTTCGTTGGTTGAATAGTGAAGGCTCATTAAAACTCACCCTATTAGGCATTATAACTAAACTCTGCCCCTTTCGACACTCGCCTGACTCCACTTTGCCCATTACCACCGTACCCATATCCTTATATTTGTCTACAATGGGCATCATAAACGGCCCATCTTGTTTTCTATTTAATGTTGGTAAATTGTCGATAAACGGAATGAAGGCACCGCCTTCAAACCACGAACAAATGGACTTTTCAACTGGATCTTTGAGGTTTTGGCCCAATTGTCCGGAGCAAGGCAGGAAGAACAGGTCTTTATTGAAGATGAAACCAAGCTTTTTAAGGTAGGGGAGGATTTTGTCTCTGCATTCGTTGTATCTTGAAAAAAAAAGCAGGTTCCTAATTAAACTAAAACTACGTTTTTCCTTCATTTAAATTAGGAAATATTCCGAAGTTCATTATACTCATGATATGTTTAGCGCGTTATTGCAAAACATTTATTTTATGACTCATGATATTGGCAACCAAATTTTATCGAGACAAACAATTTCGGATGTAATTTCCAAGAGAACACTTACGACCTCGTAATTATGAATAGTTACCTAGTTTCATCCCAGTTCACTGTCGGGTCATCCATTTTATTAACTAATACGACTAAATACTTTACTCCTGCTGTTTTTGCCAACATAGCATGCTCTCTGGTTTGCCCTCCTCTGTCAAAACCAGTTTCAAATTCTCCTGAAACATTTTATTTAATTTAATATATGCACGAGAGCAATGCAGTGTAATTTTAACTAAGAGGGTTTACAAATAAGAACCACACATATGTGCTTTGAAAAAAAAATAAGTTGATTATTTAAAGGCTAAAAGAAAATACTTAATCTGTATCAGATTAATTCCCATTCTCAAGCAAATAGTGTTACATAACTCCGTTCAAGGATTGTAGAGCGGCGACGAATGCTAATTTAATTATCTGGTACTAATAACGGGTTTTTACCTTTTCTAGCTGAAATCACTAATACTGCTAAGTCAGCTTGAGCAGCCCCTCCTATCATATTAGGCACAAAACTCTTGTGCCCTGGAGCATCCAGAATCGTAAAATGCTTTTTGTCAGTCTCAAAAAATGCTCTACCAACTTCCACCGTTTTGCCTTTATCTCTTTCTGAAGTTCACAAAAAACATGTAATTAGACCTGGAAAGTTTTATCGGGAACCAGATTTTTACCTTCTTGATTAGTATCTAGAGCCCAACTAAGGTACCAACTCTCCCTGCTTTTTTCACAGGCCTCCCTTTGGTACTTTTCAAGTGTTCGCTTATCAACCATTCCAGTTAGAGCCATGATTTGGCCGCCAATAGTACTCTTGCCTGCAAATCGAGTGCAAAGTTTTAATACAACGATTCATTCAGCTTAACGCGGCGAAATTCCTACCTGCATCGACATGTCCAATGAAGACAACATTAATATGCTCCTTTTTATCTTCCACCTCTACAGCCATGTCAGCTTTCTTTTTCTTGAGCTTCGGCGCTTCCTCACTAGAAGCTTCTTCGTCATCATCATCTTCTGGCGTTGAAGCTTGGGCGGCACCTTTAATGAATACAAATTATCAGATACTTTTAAAAACCGGAGACATTCAGCAGTTGAAGCTGATTCGGTAGCGTTCATACCAGAAGCTGTACTATCGTCGTCAGCGACATCTTCCCAAGTACCGCCCGCTCCTGTAGGGCTGTTATCGTCAGTGGCTGCAGGCGGAACAGGCGGAGGTTCCTCAACTTCTGGCGGTTCGGATGAAGATGACGATGGAGTACCTGCAAACAATTTCTCAATGTCGGGATCAAAGTTATTAAATATAATTAATTTAAGAAATTAATAGATAAAACGCTGCAGTCAATAGGCAGAATTTTTTAGTTTTAGATATTTGGGGTTTTAAAACCGGCTGCAGTCAGACTAGCTGCTAATCCAATCAGTAAAAAATAAAATGTTGGCTGATAACCAGCCAAGTACTAAAATTAGTATTAGCTGGAAATGTATATTGCAAAACATGAGGATATTGGCTGTAAAATCCAGTATGAACCAGCACTCCGAGCAACAGCTTTTATCTCCAATCGAATATAAAGCCGCATTTGATTCGCCCCATATCTGGGGCAAGTGGATCGAACACTTTACAATTTACGTTCAAATAAATTTTGCAAATCAAGTTTACTTAGTTAGAAAAGCATCAATATGGGCTAAGAAAAAATGATGAACGGTGATCAGATACGGACATTTTTCTGGACTCAGACATGGCGAAACATGTACAGCTTGACTTTCATATGTTAAAACGGTGGCTCCCAAGTCCCATGGGACGCTGTTAAATATTTACGAGTCCCAAAAAAGTGAAAAAATCGAGGCCACCTAACCTACAAGTACCAGGTTGTCACAAAAACAGTTATACGCGAACTTACCGTTGACCACAGGCTGTTCCTTGGGTGAGGCTTCTTTGCTCTCAGCCTCGTTGGGGCTGGGGCCGTCTTCGGAAGCTTGTTGAGATCCAAAACTAAATGAAGGCACAAATTCGACTGCGTTTACGTTCAACGTGGAAAATTTCGCTGTCACATCTGTTCCATGACTGGGGCTGCTGTTGCTTGAATTACTATCGGCTTGGGACTCCCAATTATCCGGGGCTGTATTAGTGGACATTTTTGTTTAGTTCTGAGTTGCCTTTAAAGAAAAAAATGGGAAGAAACGCGAGGAAAACAGGAAAATGATCGCCCGCGTGCGCTTACTCTGTCACCTACCGGATCACAATGGCCGAACGTCATGTCACACGTCATAACGACTGATGTTGCCAAGTATGCAAAAAATTTCAAACACTTTTAAGATTTGTTGAACTTTTACTCACCGGCATTGCCAGATCGCGAGATTTTGCCGGAAAAACTGTAAACATATATAATTTTTTCCGAATATTCTTATATCGACGGTATTTGCGAAATTTTGCTTAAATTACTGAGAAATAATTGAATTATAATTGATAATCTTTCAAGTCACTAACGATTCAATTGCTAAAAAATTGGTTTTAAATATTTATTTTCATTTTAATATGAAACGCTCATTATCAGTGGCGCCGCCGTAAAAGGGGCCCTCAGGTGGCAACGGCCGAAGGTGTAATGTGATATACATTTTCTATTTTGGTTTCCCTTTTGTGACAAAATTGTTAACAATATACGGTGTTGTTTTCAGAAATAAATAAAAATTTAAGATATTTATACGGACAGCTAAAATTACTTTATCTTATAGAGCTAGAGCAATAATAAATTTTTTGTTGTTACTGTTTTTTGCTTATGCAGCCATTTTCTCCATCCCTTTTCCTTGTAAACTATCTCCTTCCCACCTGTTGTTGTCAGTTGCAGTTGTCAGACGATCATATGGTGTTGTCGAATGGCATGATTGATAACCGGGAATCCTGTCCATCTTTTCCTTGCTTGTTTTCAGATCCGGAATATTAGTTATGGGTATTTTAGAGAAAATATCGGAAATCGAGAAAGAAATCTCGCGTACTCAGAAGAATAAAGGTGCCTTGACTAAAGTTTAAGTAACCTGTGCGTTAACATGTAGGCATTTTTCAGCCACCGAGTACCATTTAGGTCTGCTGAAAGCGAAATTAGCCAAATACAGGTCGCAGCTTTTAGAACCGTCGAAAAAGTCTGAAAAGGGCGAAGGGTTCGATGTACTGAAGAGCGGCGATGCCAGAGTGGCCCTAATAGGGTTCCCTTCAGTGGGAAAGGTACTCACTGCTAAACATCATCAAACAACTAGGTTTCAATCAAATCAATCTCTTACAGTCAACATTGCTTTCTACACTGACGAAAACCGAAAGCGAAGCAGCTTCGTATGAGTTCACTACATTGACATGCATCCCAGGTGTAATAGATTATAATGGGGCCAATATTCAACTACTGGATTTGCCTGGAATTATTGAGGGCGCCGCCCAAGGAAAGGGCAGAGGCCGGCAAGTAATTGCAGTTGCCCGTACGGCAGATTTGGTTTTAATGATGTTGGACGCGACTAAGAAAGATGTACACAGAGAGTTACTAGAAAAGGAATTGGAAAGTGTTGGCATCAGGCTGAATAAACAGAAGCCCAACATCTATTTTAAGGTAAGAGAGTTCTTGGACTTTTGCAACAATAGATGATAGCAACTGAAAACTTAACACCCGAAGATGAGGAAGGAAATTAAAAAATCATGCTCCCAGAGCTGCTGCTAGTGCCTGACTGTTTAAATTTGTAGATTAAAAAAGGAGGAGGTGTCTCCTTCAATTCTACTTGTCCTCTAACTAGAATAGATGAAAAGCTGGTTCAACTGATTCTCCATGAGTATAAAATATTCAATGCCGAAGTCCTCTTTCGTGAAGATTCGACTGCAGATGAGTTGATTGATGTGATCTGTGCGAACAGGGTCTACCTGCCTTGTCTTTACGTTTACAACAAAATTGATCAAATCTCGATCGAAGAAGTTGATAGAATTGCTAGGCAGCGCAATAGTGTAGTTGTGAGGTACAACTTGAATGGGCCATAAAACTGGTCGCAATTTATCACCTGCCTTTTTAGCTGTAATATGAAACTGAATTTAGATTATCTGTTAGAAGTGCTATGGGAATTTTTGAGTCTTATTCGTGTTTATACGAAGAAACCGGGTCAGCCACCAGACTTTTCTGATGGTTTAATTCTCCGAAAAGGAGTTACAGTCGAACATGTGTGTCATTCGATTCATAGGTAGGAGTCTTTAATTTAATCGGAACAATCCGTAAAAATTCGCTGTTTTTAGGACGTTAGCTGCTCAGTTTAAATACGCTTTGGTTTGGGGCACCAGCACTAAATATTCCCCGCAAAGAGTGGGCCTTTCCCACATCATGGCCGATGAGGATGTCATTCAAATTGTAAAAAAATAACTTAAGTTCTAGCAACAATGACAAATATATTAACGCCGATTATTATGGTGAAACTACTGTTGTTAGGCCTGTTAAGTATTTCAATACATAATATTTGAGTATAAAATAGCGCACTTCATTCTATATCCCAGGAAAAAAAGGAATTTGAAATAAAGCGCTAGCCAATAGTGTAAACCAGATTATATTGTTACAAGGTTACATCGTTAGTCTATTAAAATACAGAAAAATAATTTGAATCCATTGATTTTATAATTAGTAACTCGGGATATAGATGTCAACAAAAACATACAAACATTATTGAATGCCATTTCCATACGAATTATTTTCGCAAAAAGTGGATATTTTTTTATTGCTTCATCCAATAACGCAATAAAACAAAGTAATGGCAGAGAGTGAGACAACCAAACATAAAAGAAGCTTAGAAAACAATATACAAATATAATATAATTGCATAAAAAATATATGTACAATGCTAAATAATTGTTAACACAGAATTTTGGTAAAAAAACTTAACAATAAATAAAAAGTGTGTAGGTGTTTACCACCAAATTCAATAAAAAAGGGTTTTTGAAAACCTGCCTTCGAAACGCTAGTTTTAACAGTCGATTATTAAAAGGAAGATTAGATCGCATTGATTGAAATGAAATAGATCTCAGCCTTGCTGAGAAATATGGAAAATAGACACCTAATCTTAAATCAAATATCACTTACATATATCTGTTAAGGACGGCATAAAACTGCCTCTTACATGTAGATACACATTGAAAAATATGGTTTCCTCTAGCTAACGGACACTGTTTTAACTTATCGATTAACATGTAAAACACCAAGACATCAAAAATTAGTACACCCTGTGTGTTTGTCATCTTAGATTATAAAATATCTCTTGTACTATGTTCAATATTTTCGAGAGTCAAATAGAGAAGGTAGTAAACATTTTGTGCATATGGGGAAAACATCACATCACAAACACACCGATCATTAAAACCAAAGGAAACTGAGTTGTGAAATTACACTTTTAGTGTTTATTTCTAGGTTCGTTTTTAACGTAAGTTAAGTACAATGAATTTACATAGAAGGCGGATGTATAAAGGAAAAGCACCACAAAGAGTGGAAAAAGAACCATTGCGAATACTTCGATCAAGATGTCACGAATGCGGGCTCTTGGTCAGGATATTGCACAGGAGTTACGTGGCACGCAACTTGTCCTGCTGTCCATGCTGCCGGGAGTATTCGGAATACTGGTTAATCTATGATTTAAATCCAAAACAAGCATTATTACACAGTCATTTTAAAATAAACTTTAACTACCTCAACTTCCTTGAATGCTTCTTATGATTAGTCGTATACCTAAATTGTTGAGTATTAGTTGAAGTTAAAGCATAGGATTTGAGATGCGACTTTACACAAGTCGGCAGAGGCAGTTGCTCAATACTGTAAACGGTTGTTCTCGCCACAATCGCTCGACAGCACAGTTCTTGCAGGCTTAATACTTTATTAGACCTATAATATAAAAATCATGTCCTTTCCAGCTGGGTTTAGCTTGCAAACGACCGAAAAAATACCTCCAAAGCCGCTCCATCCCGTTCCGCTGCAACGCCATTCTGGACAGTTCGCAAAAGCTTTCGTGTATGTTAAAGTTGCAAAGTGGAGACACCTCGAAAAAGGCCATACTATGTTTATTGGCGTAGAGTTGAGCGTCTCTTTGGCTCACTTTCCGTTTGAAAGCCAAATGCAGCCGATTACCCACTAAAACTTTTGGAACGCCTGGCGCGTGACTGTCCACTTCTTTAAGCCAGCGGTCTAAGCCATCGAATGACCATCTAAAAATCGCGTATTTTATATTTTACCCAGCTTTATGTGACTCAATATAGTCCAATGTACAAGGTGTCCGTAAAAGAAATGCCTGACGTTTTCAGAAATACATTTTTGAAGGAACAGTGGCTGTTTTCATGAACTTGTCTGCTAGATATCAAACGTTCCTAGGTAGAAACACCCTGTGTATGAGCAAAGCGTATTTGCAACATTTTTACTAACCTATTGGTAATATCATAAACCAGAAGTACACCCTGGGCTCCTCTGGAATACGACCTTATTATGGTGCAGAATCTGCCCTGTCCCGAAGTATCCCACAATTGCAACTTTACTCTCTTTCCATCAAGGAGAATGGTAGTAGTTTTATATGCTGCAAAGAACATAGTTTTCATGGTACCTCAATTTATATACAAAATGAAGAACATTTTTTCAGATAAGCCGGTTGTAAATGCGAGTTTTTTTTCGTAA